CACTATGACCACCCTCATCACCACCATCATCACCATCGCAACTACCACCACCACCACCTTTGCAACCACCACCACCCCTCCTCCTCCTCCTCCCCCACAATCACCACCACTAGACCTTAGGCTTTTGGATACAGTATGATGTTTTTCCACTTCTCGTACCTCTTTCAAAATCAGGCGGACATTGGACATGACCAGCAGCGTATTTTCTACAGATGTTCATCCCCTTTTTTTACTGGCGGAGGAGATCGGCACACCACAGTTGTGGCCTGCGACTCCACGGCCTAGAGCACGTGCTATTTCCCTGCCTTGATGGTCCTTTTTCGGTTTTTGCTTCAGCCAGACACTGTTCACCTGGCAGGACGCATACTGGATCCCTGAGGCGACCAACATGAGACCAACGGAGACCAAGGGTCCTAGAGGTCGGACCGTCGGTTCGGTGAGGCAAGGGCGGATCCAAGAGCAAGGGAAAGGCCTGAGCCTCGGGGTTGGGCTCAAGAGACACCGGCGTGTGGCATCACCAGGAAATAACCCTGGCAGGTTCAAACAACCAAAGCTGCAATGTAGAGCCGGTACGATCCCAAGAACTATACTGATTCATTATCAGTGTGGATGGAGAAAAGGGAGAACATAATACTAAATGGAATAGTATTTTGTCTTCATTGTGGAGGGAGAAAGGGTGAACAGGGAGAGCAGAATACAATTGCCGTTTAAGCAACCTTTTTCAGAACCCAATCACTATGAGTTGGCTAAACTTTTGTTACTTCTATGTGTTCATTCCTTTATAAGGGCTGGTTGTGAATTAAACTATGCCTATCGTACATCCCCCATGATTTGGTAGATCTATTCATTTATAGGCTACTGGCGATTTGCTATAGGCCATTATTAACAGACCATGCCATGACCAAATTTAAGCACACAAAACACAGAGGTTGGACAAACCCATTTTATAAACCTCTCACCTGGCAAAAGTCTATCGTATTTGTGCACGCCCTCCCACAAGACCCATCATGTTATAAACCGCTGAACCTGCCAAGGCCCATCGTATTTGCGCACGCCCTCCACAACAACTCCGAGGGCAAGTTCTCTGAAGTAAGATAGGTTCATATAAGTTCACAAAATTCAGATGTTGAATGATGTTGATGTCCTCCCAAATGCAGTAGATGGCTTCTTAAGCCATCAATCCAATTCCCAAGCTTTCGCGCGAAAAAGACGTCTCGGCTCGTCTCTTCGTCTTCGTTTCTTTGCGAAGCCCATGGGCCTTATGGATTGCCTAGCGGTCGAAGATTTCCCGTTTTGCGTCTCCGTTGGGCTCCGTCTCGCAGTGCCGATAAAAGGACGTACCATGGAAAGGAGTCTGTGGGTTTTCTGACATTTATCCTCCCAGACTCAGTAAAACATCAGCACCACGCTTGAACAGGGGATTGGCAAGTGTCCGTACCAAGGGTAAGAACACGTCCCCACCAGCAGACTCAGTTTGTAGAGGATTTGTTTTTTCCCCAAACAGTGTGTGACACGCCACAGGGCAACGATGTCCTCTTGTCCCTCTCTTGTCCTCCTCTTGTCCAACTCCAGCCCTCCTTTTGTCCTGGTCTTGTCCTTCCCTTGCCCTCTAACTGTCATCCTCTTGTCCTTCTGTCCTCCTCTTGTTTTCCTATTGTCCTCCTCTTGTCCTTCTCTTGTCCTCCTCTTGTCCTGATGTTGTCCTCTGGCCACCCTGAAACTGTCTGGGGTCTATGCTGGCATAAATCCACTTACTTCTATCCCCTCTTTCAATTGATTATTGGTCATTACAACAAGGACACTTGGCATGACCAGCAGCGTATCTGTTTCAGATTTTCGTCCTTCCATTTGTTTGCTGAGGCCACACTAGATTCCACTCCTTGTGAGAAGGACTTCAAGACCCGCTTGTCCCTATTCAGGTCTAGCCTTGAACCCTCGTCACGCCTGTGAGTGAAGTGAAGTGAGGTGAGCTGAGCTGAGGTGAGCTGAGGTGAGGTGAAGTGAAGCGAAGCGAAGCGAAGCGAAGGGAAGGGAAGTGAAGTGAAGTGAAAGGAAGTGAAGCGAAGCGAAGCGAACTGCATGGAAGGTCTCTAGGATGGTGCTTGTGGTGGTGGCGTCATGGGGTGTCCACTGCCGACCTAGTGGTTCGTGATGGACATTGCGAAGCGAAGCGACGTGAAGGGAAGGTAAGGTGAAGTGAAGGTAAGGTGAAGGGAAGGGAAGGGGAGTGGAGTGTGGAGTGTGGTGTGGAGTGTGGCGTGGCGTGTGGCGTGGTGTGGAGTGTAGCGTGGAGCGTGGCGTGGAATGTGGTGTGTGGTGTGGGGTGTGGGGTGTGGTGTGGAGCGGAGCGGAGCGGAGTTCAACATTAATTGGTATCTCACAAACCTCAAACAACATACAGCACAAGTCGCCTTCCAATCCCTTGTCGCTCACCGTGTTTCTCTTGGCACGCAACAGCAGCAGAAAGAGCACGCACAAAAGCGGCAAGAAAGACAAGGACGATTGCCTCGATTGGGTCCTGATGTAGCTGAATCAGACAAGCCCTCTCTTGACCAAATTCAGTCCCGCCGAGGTTTATCACCTTGGAGGACGGAGGTTCAGAGGAAGCCCGTCAAACTGTTTTTGTTTCTTCATTTCTTCAGTCTGTCTAGGAAGTCGAACTTAGTCGCCCATGCGGCTGCCGCAGTCACCCGCGCATATACAGACAGGCGGTTGCATGTCGGAATTGATCTAAAGGTCCTTGGTTGATTGCTTGTAAAGACTCGGTTTTCTGTTGTTAAAAAACCTTTCCATGAGAAATCCTCAACCCCTTAGAAAGGAGTCCAGCTAAACATTGATGCTAGAAGAAATTGCATGGGCATCGGCCCCAGATAGCAACTAACTCTAAAAGTAAAAGCGCCTGGTACAAAAATCAAACAAACCCCCAAAAAAATATAAAGAAAAACATGAGGCCTCCCAGTGACCGTGAGTGCATCGCCGTTTGGCTCCACACAAGCACACAAGTGGGAAAACAACTAAAGAGAGGAGTGAAGAGAAGAACATGGGGAGACCAATTGGGCAGACAAGGAGGGAGACAAGTAAGGAGACAAGGCAGCAGCGGCAGACAAAATGCCGGTCCGAAAGGCAGGCAAGTGTGAGGGAAGCAACGAGACAAGGCGGCAGTGGCAAAGAAAACAGACAGAGGTGGAGCAAAATGCCGATCAGCCACCCAGTCATTGAAAAGTAAGGATTCCTGTGCTTAGTGCTTTCAGCTGTCTGTGGAGAAACATATTGCAAGCCAGTGGATGTCACCAACCCAGTGAACTTGGCGAAGCCGTTTGATAGTGGGAAAATAGATGCAGCGGCAAAAGTGAAATCCTTTTTCTGCGGCAGCAGTTCCCCTGCATGCCCCCAAAATCAAACAGCAAAACATTCGGCAGCTGACTGGCCGCTTTGGCGCTGTGAGAAACGGGCCCTTAGTTCGCTCGCCTGCAAGAGGTGACCGTCAAACATGTTAGAACAGCCATCCCTGGACTGGGCTATATGATATGTTCAATCCCACTTGACAACTGCAAGTCTGACCCAGATTTGCACACATGTTGGTGCGTGGCAGAACAACCTTGCAATTTCAGGCTGACACGCGTCGCTCGATGTTCCGAACTGAACAAGTGTTTTGAGAAGTTCATCCACCGAAGATGTCGCCACATAAGATGGCTCGCAGCTGAGGAAGTGGCCCTGAAGGGTGTGAGTTACGCAGCTAGGCCAAGAGTGGGGGCAGCCAGACCCAAAGGGCCCAAAGGGGAAAGAGAGGATTTTTCGAAAGGTCACAGGGCCACCATCCTGGAAGTTGGACAACCGCGCCTGACCAAATTTTCCAAAGCATGGGCGATGTGAGAACTGTTGGTTCAGTTGTGGTCGTTTTTTTCACAACATGTGTTTTACAAGAAGTTGTCGGAGACCGGCACACTGAACATTCGCTTCAAACCTCAGGGGAAACTGGCTGACTGCGATTTCGAAAGGTCGACGGCCGCAGCGTGCAGACTTGGTCGGCACATCGCTGGCAAAAGCACTCCTTCGCGGGGGTTCAGTGGGAAGACTACAAAATCCCCCAACGTTGTCCACGAGGATGCTTTCAGTTTCCTTGAAATGATGTGGATTGACGTTTCCGTGCAAAAGCCTGGTTTTTGTTGGAAAGACGCCCCGTTTGCGGGTTTGGCGACTGCAATTTACAAGACGAAGGTGGTGAAAGTGTGTGCTAAACCTCAAAGATGGAGGACGGACAGGTGGAAGGTAAGGAAATGGAAAAGATGCGAATATGAATGAATTCGTTTCAAGGGTCCTGTCCGTTTTGAATTGTTGTGGAATCAGGGTGGAGTTACATAAGTCTTCATGGCAACCCGGACGGGAAGTCATGTGAATTCCTCTTCGAATCACATGATTTGGTCGGGCATGCTGTCACCATGAGACACTCCGTGAGATGTTTGGAAGAGTGTGCACCACATCGGCACTGCAGTTGCCTTCAGTGCTCAAATGTCTTCACACTTTCATCCACTCCGTTCACGTCGAACGGGTGAAGCTTGTACATTCAAACATGCCACGCTCCGATGCATCTTTGGGGGGCTCAACACCGATCTCTGCTGGAGCCCTCCACCTCACCGCAACGGCTCCCTTCGTAGTCTCCGCGCGCCGCGCCACGGCTCCGAGGACTCCGTCGAGGCCTCGACCTCGACGCAGCTGGAGCTGCTGCGGAGCCAACTGGCCGAGGCCGTCGCGGGCGCCACAGGCACGGACCGCTCCGATGTCAACGGCCTCGGAGGGAAACGGCCTCGTCCAGCTGATGCCTTTCAACTCCTCTGCCTTGAACCAGAGTTGAAAGGCATCAGCTGGAGCTTCATTGTGTGGGTCACGAAGGTCACCGGCAGGACTGGGAGTCCAGTCGGTTCTGGGTGGAACTGCACTGATGCTTGGTCTCAACGACCGGAACAGACCACCGAATCAATCGGGTTCAGCAGATTGGCCTGAAACCCGGATCTCCAAATCGCTCGGCCAGGTGCTCGGGCCTCGACGATTTGGGATGACTCCGGCCACACCCGGAAGGCCATCGGCCGGGCGGAACAAGCCGCTCGAAGACGGGGAGCCTCTTTTTTTAGTGGGGATGGACAGTTGGTTCTCAGTGGTTCGGTGTGTTTTTACGTATTCCGTTCATCCCAAAGGCTTGGCAAAGGCACTGTAACACATCGAATGCATGATGTCCTGCTTGATTTTCTGGTGCCCATAACACTATAGATGATGCCACGAACACAGATAAACTTTGCCTTTGCTTGAGATGAACTGACAAACCAACAGTCCTTGGTGGGCAAGACCCCAAAGCAAGTCCCCAAAGCTGTGGAAATCTGCCGATGGCAACTGACAGATAGGCTGCGAGACAAGGATGACCAGTTCGACTGGTTGGGCTGCCAAGTGAACCCATTAAGCGACTCATAGCCGGACGGCATAGAGAAGGATTGCAGGAGTACATAGTTGGACAATAGACACTTTTGAAACTCCCATTTGTCCTCTAATATGTTTCCATGATCGAACCGCTGCTTGAAGACATGGAGTTCTCCTTAAACTGGACAGGCTCCGCCGCTTCGCTGAAAGCTTCAAGTCTCAGTCGAGTGGTTTCTGTCGACCGGCTCCGTCTCGCAAAACTCCCGCGAAGCGGGCGAAGAAAGCCCCAGAAAGCTCCTCTCGATGTTCGGCCAGTGGCCAGTGGTCGCCAGATGTTGGGTCGACATTTTGATGAGCTGTGTAGGCTTCGCATGGCTTTGCTTGTTTATGGAGTGAAGCCAGAATAGGCACTGCCACCTCAACAAAGAAGTGCCCCAAGCACCCAAATATCGATCTAGGATATGGTGCAGTCGGACGCGGCAAATCACTTTTCCGCCAAGGATGTCATTGACATAGGCTAACCTGTTCATTCGTTCAGGCCGCCTGATGTCAAGAGTCACGTTGCAGACCAAACATGCCTCTTAAGGAAACCTTTCTTTAAAGTTATATCGGTTCACCGGCGGTTCACCTCCCAAAGTTCCTGATGCCGAAGATAGCAGTCGGTGTGTTGGATCTCCTTCAACACCGGGTGCCTCACATCGTGCAGTTGTTGCAGCTTGGGTGATCTCCATTTGTTTCTTGTTGATCCACAAGGATGGCGCTTATTATTGGCGGCATCTATCCTTTACCGCTACTTCTGTCAGAAATACAATCAATGCCGTTACTCGTAATCATCCGTTGAATCTACCCCTTCACCATCGACAGTCACCCATGTTGTCAAGACCGTTGGTCGAAGTGAAGATCCAAGCTCGTTCCATTAACTGGCGTTCAACTCCGAACCTGCTAGCAGAGAATCAGATTGCGCCATGGAGGTCCTTCCCCAAAACCAGACGGAACATCACCCAAGGGGAAACGGAAAGGCTCCAGCACGCTAAGCCCATGGGCTTCATGTGGCTCCAGTGTCGTAAGAAAGTAGATTTGCACCGCCGGCTTCGTGGATCAAAAAGAACGCTGGTAGGATCATGTAGGACCCCAGGAGCTGCGTATGACTTCAGGAACTGCCGCAGTTCCAAAAACCAAAAGGCAGTTCCTGGAGGCCGCTGCTTTCGGGTCTCCGCGTGTTCCGCGGAACCCGTGGAGCCCGTCGACCGCGGAGCCCGCGACCGCTTCGACGGCTTCACGGATCGGCGCGCAGGTCGATTTGAAGCCTGGCTCCTTCGGGGAGGACGGTCCGGGCGACCCTCGTGGCGGTGCGGCCGGACGTTTCGGTGGCGGTGCGGCTGCGGCAGATCGGTCGCCGACTGGCGGCGCAGCTTGTTGAGTTGGGGCGCCTTGAAGAGGACCAGGTCTTATCACCGGAGCTTGCCAGAGGTTGTGGACACCAGCGGGGAGAACCAGTTCTTTGGTGTCGAGATGCCCTCTACGTACGATGAGGAACGTACCACCACTGTGAATTTGTATGTATGTCTCACGGCGAAACGCTGTGAGTTTCTGTGAAACGCGATCAAATCAACGGGACATGTGTTCTGAATACCTGAGTTGAAGCCAGATCTCTTAGCCGCACCGTTGATCAGATCTCTTCCTGCAGTGCATACGTGGTGCAGTTTTTTGGTTTCCTTTGCAACCAGTCCGCGGCTCATGTAGCAATGCCGTTTTGGTTGTGGTCCTCGGTTCAGTGGTCGGGTGCGCACCAAAAACCACAGCGTTTGCTGCTCAAATACGTGATTCTTTTATGTTCTTTTCGATTTCTTTCGCATTCCCAGCGGTCTGCTTGTTTGTGCCATGTTACAGCACTTGGGGGATGGCAACCTTCCCCTTCAGTGCGATCGTATTTGGGCTTGTCACGAGGTGGACATGGGCTCCAAACAGTTCGTTTCGCCAACGGTGAAGAGTTTTAGACAGGGAAGAGTTCCCACTGATGAGTTCCCACGGACGGAATTTCGGTGATGAGACTTTGAGTCACGGTCCGTGTCACCCAACCGCGGAGTCGCACGGTGACGGTGCACGTCCGAGCCAACGCGTCCGAGCACGTTCGAAGGAGCTTCGAGTGGAGTTCAACATGGAAAGACCGAGGAGGGCAGACCTCGATGCGTCGATGGGAGGGCAGGACCGGTCTTCAACACGGACTCGGACGCACACCCGGACGCACCCTCCAAGGCTTGTGCGTTCATTTGCAGGTGATGTTCCTCCCCCCCCGGGCAGCAAGTCCGGCAAGTCCGCGTGCAGTCAAGAGCTGCGTGCACGCGGAGTACGTATCGAACACGCAGCCGAACAGCTTGAGCCACGTACCACGCACACACCATTGATGAAACAGATCTTACCCTGGTGATTCCAATAGGTCCGTAGCTGTGCTTTTTACAACACCTGATCTTGCACCCCACAAAGAAGACTAAAGAGTTATTTCATGTCCATGATGGGGAAGGTGCACAGATGGCATCAAGCAACCGGAATCAAGCAACTAAGTTTAACAAAAAATAATACACATCCCAGTTGAAAGTGCTCTTTTCTCCACTCCGGCGGAGTGCCAGAGAGTTTGTTGGGTCGGGAAAGACGAGTCCTGTCCGTGCGCAGGGGAGGCCGAACCAATGGATGAGTCAGCCGTCCGTTTTTCGGTGTCGTTTGTACGGTATGGGGTTGATTTGCTTCCCCCTAGCCTATAGTAACCCTATAGTAACCCTAGCTGGCTGGCTTTGAAGTAGACCCTATGACATGTCAGACGAGCTGCCAGGAGTAGCGACGAGCTCACGCGCAGCCTGGGCTCCCACGAGCTGCAGGAGCCGTGGAGCCGTGTCGCCCTTCGATTGATGGTCGAATTCCAAGTCCAAGAAGCTGGGAATTGGACCCTTCTTTAGAAGTAAAGGGTTCAAAAGAAGACTTCCAATTTAAGTGAATCCCTTTGACTGCCCATAAAAGATCGGAATCATAGGGTGCGGAGGAGAACCTCCCGAAAGCGTGTCATTCTTCATCCAATCTCAGCACCCCAGCCCCGCCCTCTCCACAGGAGTCCATGCGCAAAGCCGTCTACGCGCTCTCGCCTGAGAGCATCACAGGCTGGGCGTACGTGCCACCGGGCCACGCCCCACGCCCGGGCGAAAAGCCATTTACGTTTCAGTGGTTTGATGGCACAAGTTACCCCAAGTTAGGTGGATTATATGTGGACCCCCATCTAAAGAAAAGACACTGTTGGGGGTTGTGCCATCTCTGAAACCACTGTAAAGGGAAAAAGTTGACTATCAAGGCGGTCATGAGTGTCTCAGTCTCCCCCTTGATTTAGTACACGCCGTGGCCACATGCCTATCCATGCATCAATGTCTATCCAAATCTCCCCGGCCAGTTCTCTCGACGTGTCGCCCTTCCAAAACACAACTAAAGCCACTGCGCATGGCCTGCTAAGGTGTCAAAACTCCAACACTGAAGCCACTCAGTGAACCTCTCCCCTGTTCACTACCTTTCCAGCACTAGAAAGACCTGTTATTAAGTCACACGTCCGTCACGGCGAGCTCGATGTCCAAGCCATTCCAACAACCCCAATCATTGGGAACATGTGACCCCCTGTCCACACCTTTCAACCCCCCCCAAAATGACCATACAGCAAGGAGCTACTAGGGGCTCCTGGCCTTACTACTAGTAACAAGAAGCTACTA